GGATGCGGGGCAGGGCCGGGGGAGTTGGGGGGGATGCGGGGCAGGGCCGTCCCTCGGCCTCCGGCCCCGTTCGGCCGCAGAGCAGGGTGGCTTCTGCGCCAAGACCGAAGCCTTGGTGCGAGTACGACGGAAAGTTAATGTTTAGGCTGCTGCTCCCAACTTTTTGGAAGGAGGCTGCGCCGACTCGAGTGTTTTATTAAGTAATGAACTTTGTTGCTAAGCTGTAAAAGAGGTTTTATTATTGGCTATTGTCACTTTATCTGTGCAGCCAGTAGGAGCGAGACTCGCTGTGTGTACTGGTGCCTGCTACTCTCGTTGTTAAGGGTCTGTCAACATTTCCATTATTAAACTTCTGTTTTGAAGGATTTATAACTTGGCCTCAGAAGTTTACTCCAGGCTGAACCTTGGCACGTACTCTCTCAGCCTAGGAGTTAATTCATTTTCCAAATACTCAAAATCAGTCTAGCCTTCATTTTGCAAGACTGAAAAGAAAATAGAAAGGGGTGGGGCTGAGCTGCTTCTGTAGTTTTGCTGGCTTCTGACTTGCAGACCTTTAATAACACGCTGAAATCCAGCGAGGAATAAGGTTATTATGTATAGATGTGGAAATCTTATCGCAGTTCCGTTGTGCGCCAGTGTGAACTGGGATACATCCAGCTAAGACTTGGTGCTGTGTCCTGTTAAATGCAGTATCTGTGGTTAAACAGCTATCGCCTTCGAAATGCACTTAATGTGTGTGACGTTCCCGCAACTTGTGCTTTTAAGCTTAACATTATCTTGCTTGAGTGTGTTACTCTTCATCTGTAATGCACATTTAGTTGGATCACTGTTCCTTGTGCCAGTTGGTGGTTTCTGAAACAAACTTGCAATCCAGGTAAAGCCGGAGAATCAGTTGCTTCATTGTGGACTGTCTTTTAAAATAAGACTGTTTTCATTTTCGTTTCTGTTTACTTGTCCCACGAAAATACTGTGCTTAACAAAAAAGGCCTTGTATTTCTGTAATTCTCCCTGCTTCTCAAGAATTAAAATGCCTCGAATTCAGTTGATTTGCAGCTTCCCTGTTTTGTTTAAATGGAAGCTAATTCAATAGATGAAACTTCCCGTGTGCTTGCACACAGCTGTAGTGAAACAGAATTGTCAGTCTCCATAAGAGTATATAAATGGGAGGCCCCAAGTATGGTGCAATACGTTGTGTAGGGAGGTGTGGCAAGGGCTTATACGTGCATCTTATTACAGGAGCTCATGTTGTTCTGGTGTATCTACAAAATCAATTAATTGGTAAATATCTATAAGCAAAGGTCAATATTACTTTAATCCAGTTTTCAGAGCTGCTTTTTCTGTTTCACGGTGGACACGTATTTACTCATGACCAAGAAGTTCTGTGTGCTTCTGACTGGTAGCTCTGGTGAATGGTTTCATGAGTCATTTCTGATTGACTGGTTCAACAGTTTGCTGAAGCTTTGCTTTGGATAAATCATGGGCAAGACTCTTCATAAGCTTCTGATACCCTTGAAGTGTGGTTTGTGTGTGGGTTAGGAAATTTTGCGTTCAGTCTTGTTGTATAGGGGTTTTATTATGGTTGATTGAAAGGACTCTTCCTCTGTTGGAGCTCACTGCTGTCAGTTGGCATTTCTTTGTTGTGTTTCTCCTTGTGTAATCCTTTAAACCCCTGCAGAGGGTGTTTGTGTGGGTGTTCTTGCACCCCCACACCCCCATTTCAAAAGGAGAATGGGAAATTAACTCATCCAGCAGAAAGTGGGTGCAATGGGAAAGGGTGGGTGCAGTCTGGTAATGAACCATGCAATACCTGGATGAGGTCTGCTGACAGCAGCCGTGTCTTTTTTTTTTATCCTTGCACCAAGGAGTAAAACTTTAGGTTTCAAAATAAAACTAAAGTCACTTAACGCATACTTATAATTAATATTGCTTGACTTACACAAGGGCTTTCGTGATGCTGATTAACCAACCTACATGGAGGCTCTCTTGCAGAGTAACAACTGGAAAGTAAGGAGAGCTTTAGAATGACTAACTTTAGAATTTCTTCTGAAAGATTAATTTAAAGCGAAGTATCTTCTAACAGCTGCATTTCTGCTGAAATATAAGAATCTTAATGGGAATAATTTCACTCCTGGCAGGCCAGCACTGATGCAGGGACAGCAGGCGCCCTGACCCCCCAGCATGTCCGAGCTCATTCCTCCCCAGCATCGCTGCAGCTGGGAGCCGTTTCTCCAGGGACACTTACACCCTCTGGAGTAGTGACTGGACCTGGGGCTCCATCTTCTCAACATCTCCGCCAGTCTTCATTTGAGATCCCCGATGATGTGCCTTTGCCACCAGGCTGGGAGATGGCTAAGACACCATCTGGACAGAGATACTTTCTTAAGTAAGTAAAACTTATTTTCAGTTGGCTGTACCTCTGGTTGGGTTTTTGTTTGGTTTTATATGGTTTTGGTTTTTTTACAATTTTTGAATTTTAGTAATTTCACTGGGTTTAAAATAGATATTTTTAAAATATGCTCCCGATTTTAAGTAGGAGATCCTGCCACTCCAGTATTTCTCCCATATCAACTCTCTGCTGTTTCTGAAAACTGTATAATACTCTGAATGTTTATCCTGTCTTAATCTTAGCTGAATAATGTTATCCATTAGATTGTATACTAAAAATCAGTGAAATGCACATAGTGATTTTTTAAACAATGTGACTTTTGGATTTGCTGAATCTTGCCAGAGTTCTCATGCAGTTCAAAATACGTTTTAACCTCATTTTTGTGATGCAGATCTAAAAATACAGAGTAACTTCAGAAACTGTTGTAGTGAGAATATATCAGGACTTCTTATTTTTTTAATAAGGACAGTTGTGTAAGTGTGCAATCAAAACATTTTTGTCTGCTCTCTACTCATGAGGAAATTAATCTATGTGTTTGATGGCAGTATTTGGGTCTGTAACTCTTAACTCATCCACGTTCCCTGCAGCGAAAGGGAAATTGCAGAACGTGTAACATTGTTTCTTGTTCCTACAACTTGTAGCTTTTTCACACAGTGAAATTGGTATCACCTTTTCTATAACTGAAGGGAGGTTCCACATGCCGGCCATCCGACACCTAATCCATCAGGGAGCATTTGCTTTTATGCTGCGTAGTTTTCTAAAACAGCAGGAGCTTATCCTTCTTTCTGAAAGTGTGCCCACCAAGACACGTAATTGGCCCTCAAATATTTTGACTGTATTTTGAACGTTTTATTTAACTGCAAGTCTCTAAATAACCCATTATATGTTATTTTCAGGGCTGGGAGAGGGGAGGGGCAGCACAGTGTGTTGTTTATGCAAAACTTGTTTCAGCCAAGAAAAAGATCTTTATCCCTACCTTTCTTGCTAAAACATCGTCATTAATATGTGCATTTGATTGAAGTAATTGATTATGTAGCTTCGGGAACAAATCTACATTGTCTGCAAGGAAAATGGAACTTGTGGAACTTCTTAAAACTGTTCCTTGTTCCTATAGCATGATGTTTCCACACAGAGAAATTGGCCAAAAAGAGGTTACAGGAGTTGTCTGACATTATTTGAGCCTGAAGGTTACTTTTTAAAAACAATCATTCTGTATTAGGAATGCAAAAATGAGCATTAGCTATAGATCTTGAAGATGTGGTGTTTTCTTTGGTGAAGTTCAACAAATCTGTGTATTCTAGAATTTGAGCTCTTCAGTGGGAACAAATAGAAATTTTTTGGAACTCTGTAAGTTTATGCCATTTGAGAACTGTAGCTCATTGGACCTTGAGGAAAGCACAGGCTGAGTTTTAAAATGAAAAGCAAACTTTGTTTTGACTGTGCTAGTGAGAGCTCTTAAAGAGCAGCATACGAAATGTGAAAAATAGATATTTGATTTTTAAGTTTTACTGTTGCAAGTGTTTGGTTTTGATAATGCTGTACATTTTACAGAAAGTAAAACTGTTTAAGAGATGCAAAATGTCTTCACACTCTTACAATAGTTTTTTTTTTTTTTTTAATTATGCTCATTCAGGTGAAATCAGAGTGAAAGATTTGTTCTTGGAAAGCTTTTCTGCAGTTTCATTATTACCAGAAAAAATCTTTTCCTTTTTTTTCTGCAAGTTGTTTTGTCCTTTCTTGGTGTCCTGGTATCCATTTCAAAGGGTCAGGTTTCAGCAAGAACAATAAAGAGCCTGAGACTGGAAAGTACACACAAGTCTGGCAAACTCATCTGCATGAGCAAGATCGTTTGTTCTCAAGCAGACATCCAAAGTAAATGATTGAAAGAGTTGCTAGCTGTGAAGGATGTGTCTTGAAGGGGAAAGGAGTGGAAACAAACCAGGTTGTTAGGAAGAAAAATAAAGGCTGTACTTTTTGAACCTCTCCCTGCTGGGTCACATGCTGACCTTGGGAGATTTTAAACAGCTTAATGGGCTGTTTTCTTTTGGCTTTCCTTGGGTGATGGTGTGGTATGGGAGAGTCTAATGAGGACAGTTCTGAAAGCTCTGTTCACACTTGAAGAACATTTGTTATTCCTAAAAGATTGTTTTAATGCTATCTACAGGTGAGATCCACCAACTTCATTTGAGTTCATAAAGATTTGTGAAAAAACACTTCAAGTAGTAGCAAAATGTTTGCATTGTGTGTTAGGAAATCCGAAGGAATATTAGAATGATTTTTGAGTAGCAACTTTGTATTTCAGAAGCTTTTTTCATTGTTGAGCGATAAGTTCTATCTCATACTCACAAGACTATTAAAACTCACATCTTGTATATACCTTAAACATTTGCTGGAAGTGTGAGTACTGAGATTCCTGATGCTAAATACATTTAATGCGGTTCCTTCTACCATATGCAGATTTTTGGTGTCTATTCAAAGTACTCAGCTTTTTTTTTTGGATTGGCTGCATTGCTCTTTGTTTCCATTTGCTCTGTTCTGTAGCCACTCCATGAACAGTCTGGTAATCAGGCTCTAGAAAGATCTTTGCAGAATAGGTAACACTATTAGATTTTTTCCAGATGTCAGTAAGCCTTATGGTTATAGTTATCATAATATACTTCAGCGCAAACAGAATAATATAAAATTGAGTAACGTACTTAATACAGTCTAGAACGTACTTAATACAGTCTGGAACTTTCACTAATCAATGAGTTAAGTGCTGCAAAGGTAGTAGTTTGTGCAAAGAAATGAGAATAGTGTGTATAGGAGAGAAAATACCTGTCTGTATATACAGACAGATGCACAGAGTTATTTGGCCAGGTGCTTTATATACACACCACACATGTATCCGTACATATTAAAGGAAGGTGAGAGTGGCAGTGTAGGGTCTGAACCAGAACTACTCTTGTCAATTTGTCTGTCATCTAGATAAATGGACCCCTTTATGTGTGAATGCCCAACATATGATTTGCCAGAGTTCCACTGGTAAGCGTTCATCTCACTGTTATGAGTGGGACTCACGAGTATAATTTTCCGTTAGAGAAAATGCAGATAATTTTGGCCTGTGAGTTCAGCCATACTTGCTGTACAGCTGGTAAAACTAACACTGCTTTTTACTGAAACAGCTACTTAACTAGAACTCATGAGTTAAGACTCGCCTGGTTAGTCAGTGGTCAGGTCTGAGTCATCTCAGCGTGTCTCTGGCCCATTGTGAAACAGGCAGAAGGGAGGACCGGGTGGTTTGTGGCCATGTCAACTGCAGAGCTTTTTAACCGCTTCCTGCTCGCCAGCTGCTGGTTGACATTTCGGTGAACTACGGAGAAAGACAGGGGATCGCTCTCTAGGCAAAAGATAATACGCCCTGGGAGCAGCAGACAACAACTTGCAGAAAGAAAAAATAAGTTTCTCTCATTCTTAGAATTCTTCTTGTATCGTTTTAACTTAGCATTAGGCTTTTACTTCTTACAAAACTTGTGTAATACCACTTCTCGTTTCATAGTGTGAGGAAAAGTTAACTGATTGTCCAGCAAATAAGTCTTGTAATTATTTTTTCCTACAGGAAGTAGTTCTTGCAAGCAGTTTATCAACAACTTCCTATTTTTTTTCTGTGAAGTGTTGAATGACTTCCTGAAGGAGGCCAAGGTGGTTTTCATTAGTATCTGTGGGTGTGTTTGAGGTGGTTACCCATCTGGCAGAAACCTTAAAAATGGATGGCTGCTACACATTTCCTATGTGCTTGATACAGATATATGGCTTTGGGTGTTATGAAACCAAACTGTTTTAAGATAACAGGGAAGTTTGTTGCTTTGCTTTCCCCCCTGCCCCCCTCACATCACATGTGAAAGTATTCAGCAGCGCTGTTAGATTTCTCTTGCATCCCGTTTTTGTCCCTGACTGAGGAACCACCCACTACACCAGTATCATCTGCTTTCCTCCTCCTCCTCTCCTCACCCAGCCAAATTAATCTTAGTCTTCCAGGACAGAAGATGTTTATTGGAAAAACTGCTGCCATAATTGCATATTTCGTTGAATACCTTAATTTACTGGAGAAATGCACATTCACAATAATCAATTAATGGGAGTCCTTGTGTTTATGGTTCTATAGTTCAGGCTAGTTTGTCATTAAAAGAGCTGTATTGTTGGAAGCTAAAACTACAACTACTGCTTTTGATGGGTTTGTCCATTTCCCTGTGCTTTTTGTACTAAAAAGCAGTTGAAGATGTTTCTGCTTGCTAAATTACATTTGTAATATGTCAAATTAATATAATTTTTATAGTGATGATTTCTGAGTGTTTATGAAAATATACTTAAGATCAATGATCTGAAAAAAGGCAAGGAAATTTGTGCAGGGGAAATGGGTACTCTCAGTTTCAGAACAGAGCTGGAGGAAAGAAATACTAGTTAAAACACTTCTGAAGTAAAGCATGCTGTGTTTTGGCAACTTATGATTTTATTTTTGTCTTGGAAGACAGTCATAGTACTACTAAGTGTGTATCTTCCCTTCTACCCCTTACTTGAAGAGTCCTACGAAAGAACGATGATACAAACTATTTTGAATTTGCAGTTGTACTAAAGATTTCTGTGTCTTTAAAAGGACAGAGAAAGAATAAGGGCAAAGCTGTCTTATTTGTGTTCGCTGTGAGGCTGAGCTGGGAGGAGGATGAAAGTACATCTCCAGCCCTCTGAACTGGGAGAACTTGCAGCCAGCTTAGTGGGTGGGCATCAGTGAAAGCAATGGCAAAGGGTGCTTGGCTTGTGTTTAGTTTTGTTCTGCGTAAGAAAAATTGCAAACGATGATATCCACGCACTCGGTACCCTGCCATACAAGGTGATTTTACAAGACTATTCCAAAACCAGTTTAATAAATGTGATTTCAGGTAAACCAAAACCATACCTTGTGTTTTTTCTAATGTATTTTCCTTTTGTTTATTAACATATTGGCACTTATTATCTTCAGA